ATGTATCAAGAAATAAACTCATAGGAACATTTTTGGAGAACTTTCAAAATAATGAAAAATTAGAATACTTTCTTTTAAACATTTGAAAAAATGTAATCAAATGAAAAATAAAGCTGATCTACACATAATTCAAATTCTATATTCATGAAAAGAATCTTAAACTATTGTAAAGATATATACTGAAAATAGGTTATAATGTTTGACTTAATATCTATATGAGTAAGCTAATTATTACTAACATCTATCAAGTATGCTATAGTTTATATTACTGAAAAAGAAGTTTACTTAAATCAAATAGTAAATTATACAACTCTTCCTCTGGGTGAATTTCTGTGTCCCTCCCCGCTCAACTCAGGATGAAATTTCAAACCCCAATATGATGGTGTTTGGAGATGGGGCATTTGGAAGGTAGCTAGCTAGGTCATAGAGACTGGAGCTTGACAAGAGTGGGTGTCCTTTCTCTCTGCTCCTTACCATATGAGGACACAACAAGACAGCCACTACAAACCAGAAAGAGGGCCTTTATCCTAACCCAACCATCATGATCTCAGTCTCCAGAACTGTGAGAAATCAGTTTCTGTTGTTTAAGTCATCCAATCTATGGTAATTTGTTAGAGCAGCTCAAACTGACTAAGACAACCCTTATAGCACTTTTAAAAATATTTATTACTAAACCAACTGGTTTCCACAAGCATGTTCCTCAACTGGGGGCTATTTTTCCTGTTACATCTTAACCTCTGAATCCAAGACTACCAAGCAATCACTCCTACTCACTTCCCCAAATCACCAGCACGTCTTTGATGCTCACAGGTACAAGTAATCTTAGTTGGTGTCACTATAACACTATGTTCCCGTTACCATTATCTAGCTTGAGAGACTATTACTACCATCAATTTCCCTCCAGAAACAAAGGTTCCTAAGGGTAAAGGTTGATTTATTCTGATGGTCTTACTGACTCCTAGCACCATACCTTGTAGAGAGACAATATCCAAAGGGAATTGGTTCCAAGAGTCTCTGCAAACAGCAAAACTTGCAGATGGTCAAGTCCCTTAAATAAGATGGCACAGTATCTGATAGGCACATCCTCCTGTATACTTATTAAACCATCTCTAGATTACTTGCAATACCCAATGCAATGTAAATGCAACGTAAATAGTTTTAAAACTTTATTTAGGAACAACAAGAATAAAAAGTCCATGCAAGTTCAGCATAAATGCAATTTTTTAAAAAAATACTTTTGATACAACGTTGATTGAACTTATGGATATGGAAGACAAATGGTACATAAAAACTAAACAATTATTGAATGTAAGATTAAACAACATAGTAAACATTGTTTAATATAAACATATACATAAATTGAATCTGATAGATCTGATATAATAAAATCTGATAATTAAGAGATTTTTCTTCTTGTTTTTTAAAATATTTTCAGATTTTATCCTTTATTGGGGATGTCAGCAGAGAACATAGGCGAAAGGACTAAGTCTTAGGGGTTTTGGCGTGAACTGTGAGCAGAGAAGCCCATCCTGAAAGAATGAGCAGGTTCCCAGTCTGTGCAGAAGTTGACATGGGGTGACAGGGGATGGTGAAGAAGAGGTAGTTCCCAAGGGCAACCCAGCCCTTGAATCTATCAAAAGCATCCAAATTTCAGATCTCTGTATATTCTAAAGCAGTTGCTTTTTTCTTTGGCCCAGTGTTTGTGTTTTAGCCTATTTCTTTTGTGCAAGTCCTTTACAAAATATTTCCTTCAATCATCTCTTAACCTATCCACTTGTAGGTTTAGATTAAAGAAAATTACACAGGGGGAGAGGCAAGAAAAGAATATTGTACACAAGTTAAAATTTAGTAAGTTTTGTTATCCGTTATGTCAGACTGTGAATAGGATACATGTTCTAAAAGTTTACATACAGTAGGGTACAGATCTGACTATATAAACTGTAAAACTGAACACCGGAATAAAAATAAATGAATACACAGAAATCAAGAACAAATGAATTTAAAATTCTAAGAAAAAAGTTTCTTCATTTTTAACATTATTATCAGTTACTAGCCATTTAATGAGAGTCCATTATTTCCTAGACGCTACATAAATTCTCCCTGATCCACCCAAAAACAGCCTCAGAGGCTAAATGGCTGACAAACATTACACATGTAAAAAGCAATGGGAACGGGATTGGAACCCAGGTCTCCGTGGCTCCAAATGTTGAAATGTAATTCATTCCTAGGCTAACAGTATGTAATGCTGAAATATTAATCTGAATTTCTAGAAGCCTCTTTGCTTCTTTAAACTGCTGAGGACAAGCAGACCGGTGTCTTGATCACTTTGTGTCTTCATCACCTTCTCGGCACTAAAATAATCATTCTTTGAAGATTACTATGCCTCTATGCTTGAAACCTATGCTTTGTGAAGTCTATGTACTAGAGTCAACTTTGATACTTCTATAGTTAACTGGCTTGAATATTATACTACAGTAGCATCCTTATATGAACGTCTAGATGAATACTTTTCCAGAAGGATTCCAAATACTCTCCTCTCAATGTTACTTAGAAGTAACCTCCATGGAAAGGCTGAAAAGCCAAGGATACACATATTTTGAGTATTAAATGCTCAGAAGCTAGCCTGTGAAAAACATAAAGCAATGGATTAAGCAAAGCTCTCCAAATGTTGGATTGAATACCAGGTGGTAACACCAATTTCAAACATGAATTCAATGCTGGTGAAGGAAAAAAGAATTTCGATTCAATAAAAATTCTGTTCCAGTAGCTCTGCAAAATTTCATGGCTCATCTGCATGCTCTTAAAGCTTCTTCACTGATGGTACTTGTTTACAAAAGACTAAGAGCCAATTTTAATATGGGAATTCTTCAATTATATCTGCTTAGGACACTTATATGTGGCTCCTTGTCCTGGCATCAACTAATTAGCATTAAAGATCAAAGGTTTTTGCATGAATTCAGAATACAAGCTTATTGGATTCTATGTCATGGAACCACAAAAAAGAATTTGGTAAGAAAACTTTCACTGAATTTATTTATACCTGTCATTTCCTTTGGGGCAAATTCACTTTATAGGCTGCTGGCAAAATAAGAGACTCAAACTAGTTGGCTTTTATTGTTGGCTATTTACTCTTAACAGCAGCTAGGGAACTGACTCAAAAGAGAGCTTAATCATCTTAAACCAAAGGCATTTCTAAAGCCAACTGACAAGAAAGAGATTAACTGCTGTTATGATGTTGCTCCTGATACCAGAAATTAGAAAATCTAGATAAATTATGACAGAGAGAAGATTGTAAAAGAAAAGAGCTAGTAGCTACTTTTTGTTGTTCACTAACTTGAAATAAAACCTCTTCCTCACCTTCCTCCTTCATTTGTTACTCATTCTCTTATGTTAAAACTGTTTTATTAGCCATGTACAGTGGCCCACTTTTGTAATCCTAAAATCAGGAGATCAAGGTTCGAGGCCAGCCTAGGCAAATAGTTCTCCAGACCCATCTCCAAAATAACCTGAGCAAAATAGACTGGACATGTGGCTCAAGTAGTAGAGTGCTTACTTTGCAAGCATGAAGCCCTGAGTTCAACCTCAGTCTTAACAACAACAGCAACAAAGTTTTATTATTAACACCAATGAAAATGCTGTGAGCAGTTTGAATAACAGCTGCATGTGTTCACAGAATCACAGGATCTCAGGGCCAGAAGGAGGTTCCAAAGGCAATTTAATGCAACTACTAAATCTCAGGAATATGTTTCTTTTACTGTATGTTGGCTAAGTGGCCAATACATGAAACATTTTCTGCCCAGTGCCTCTTTGGATGGATCTTAGAAATGTGGTACTCAATAAACTGAAGTCTTGTTGCATCTCTAAGAGTCATAACAAACAAATACAGGGCAGAGTATGGTGGTGCTAAAAAGGCTAAAGCAGGAGGATCATGAGTTCAAGGCTGGCCTAGACTACATACCAAGATCCTGCCTCCCAAAACCACTCCCCTTCAAAAAAAAAAAAAAAAATTCTCTTGATATGAAGTTCTATGAACATATAAAGAGAGTGCCTCTCTTCTCCAGCTATCTCTATTTCTTCAAATGTTCCTAATTACGAAATTCTACTGAGTCTTCTATGTTGGGCAAACTATAAAAAAAATTTAGTTTGAATACAAACTGATAATTATTTTAATTTTAAAAACAGTACTTAAAACTTTGAGTTACATAAACATGTTGGATACCAACTTGAATTCTGAAGTTTGTGCTTAGCCAGGCATCAGTGGCTCATGCCTATAATCCTAGCTACAGGATCCTCTAGGCAGAGATCAGGAAGATTGAGGTTCAAAGCCAGTCCTGGGCAAAGAGTTGGCAAAATCCTATCTTAAAATAACCCATCACAAAAAAGGACTGGCAGAGTGGCTCAAGCAGTCGGAGTGACTGCCTAGCAAGTGTGAGACCCTGAACTCAAACCCGAGTGCTACCAAAAACAAAGAAAAAGTTGATGCTTAAGTATACAAAATCTCCCTCAAAAACAAACATACTTCTACTAAAAGTATACAGACACAACACTTTTAATATTATTTAAATAATGAACTGTTCTTAACTGTTCCTAATGTATAATAGCCAGTATGTTCAGTGCTAACCCAAAATTTCAATAAACATTTAAAATACCTTTCTACCAAGTTTTAGAAAACAGGAAAAAAATCACAAATTCTCAAGTTACACATATGATGGTTACTCTTCCATAACTGAGAACTTTCATTCAAACTCAAACAACAAAAAAATCAAATAAAAACTCCAAATTTTTCAGAAACGGAGTTTTAAAGGTTTAGACACATGATTTCAGTATGGTCCTATAACTGATTGAAATCTATTTCAAGATCTTCACTTTTGGTACCAATAGGAGATTCGTACATGCTCAGTTAGTGGCTCACCAAATACTCAACTGAGTATTCACCACAGAGTATTCTGGCATCATCTAAATTCCACTGGCAAAATCCAGGAACATTCACCCACACTTACCCAAGACTCATGGTACAGAACTGTTAGTAGATACATTGCATAATCGTAATTCTGCCTCTTTAAAGGGCACCTTCAAAAGAGAAAGAGGGAGGAAGTCAAAATTCTAGAAATAATATATAGAATAATTTGCAAAATATACAATATACTAAAACAGAAGATAACATTTTCAGTAATTCTCTATCCACTTCAGGAAATTCTGCTCTAAGAATAGTCTGTGTAGCTCATTAATTGAAAATACTGAGTACTGGGCTTACTTTTATCTTTGCTTTCATCACTAATGGAGATATCTGTATATGATAATAGCTTTAAGCTATTTTTTAACAGGACTGTGTTCAATCCAGGTTCATTCTACCATCTCAATGCTGAGAATCTGCTTGATGGCATGAGAATATCTGAGTTAACTTAAAAATGAGCTAGACAGGTGATACATGCTAATTTAAATGTTAATCTTATTTCTTCAGAGCTGATTCTTTTTAAAATGAACACATACATATAATGTTGCTGCTACATTTATATTTAAAATAGAATTAATATGGGGGAAAAAAGAATTTTAGTACCCTAAAATTAAGCAAAACTTCTACACACGTATGAGACAGTATACTAAGCTTGTAGGGTAATAAGGTAATACAGAAAAAGAAACAATTGCTTCTAGTTTCTACAAATATAAAACTATTGCATGACAAATAACTTTAACTGTAGTGATTATTCTTTACTTGTATTTAATAGTCCTCTGAATAGCTGCTACAGGAAATGTGTGTATAGATGTTGTCAACCAAGAGATAAAGCAACCTTATCAGAACTTACAGAATTTCAGGAAATAACATGTTAAAGGTATTTTAGAAGTTGGATAAATTAGAAGTGCAACGTTACCTTGCATTTTCTAAAGACACTAAAATATATTTCAAATCTATTTCCCTCTTAAGGTAATAATCAGAAACCACAGCTCCTGTGCTTTTCCTGCCTCCACCATGTTCACCACCTCTCTCTGCATACTGTCCTGAGCCTTCTTCCCACCACTAAGAAACAGGTTATGAGACCTGATTCTGATGCCTCCAAATCCTTTGAAATTTAGGATGGGTGGGGAGATCTGCCACTCACTTTTCTCTAAGGAGCTGTTTTATATTCTGACACAATTTAGAGGCAACAAAAGTAAATTCTAGAAATAAAATACCCATTTAGTAAAAACATACCAGTAACCTTTCTTTATATCAAATGAAAATCATCTAACTTATAAACTCATAGTTGATAACTTTAATACTCTTTTTATAAATGACTATCCTGACTCTGAAATTCTGCTTATTTACAATGCCTTGACAAATTTTCATATGTGCAAATTAGCAATTTAATTTTGAACTACATACCTTGACTTTGTTTTTTAGGCTAGGACTAAGGTTTGAACTCAGACCTCTTGCTTGGGGCAAAAGCTCTACCACTTGAGCTACACCCCAGCCTCCATACCTCAACTTTGTAAAAACCTATTTAAGGGAACACTTATTCTATTTCATAGAATGAAGTGTTGTCCCAGTCTAGAATCACAAATAAAGCCAATTAAGAAAAAAAAAAAACTCCCGCCTATTTAAGCATTAATCACTAGCAAATCATACTTTGTCTTCTTTTAACATCTTCCAAGTTTTACATACATAGGTATATGAAAGTGAGGACTAAAAATAACAACACAACTAAGCAAGTCCTTCTCCATACATAAAAAGAATAGTGAAAGTAGGCTAGTTTGAGGATTTCAAAAATATGAATTGCACAACTTCTCTAATAAAAGTTGATGTAATAAAAGCTACTCCTATCTTTTTTTTTTTTTTTTGGTGGGACCGGGGTTTGAACTCAGGAATCTATGTTGGCAAAACAGGCATTCTATTGCTTGATTATTTTTGGAGGCGGGGTCTTGCAAACTATTTCCCTGGGCTGGCCTCAAACCAAGATCCTCCCAATCTCAGCCTCCCAAGTAGCTAGGATTTTGCCTAGCCACCATTCCTATCTTAATATGATTTCTCAAAAGAGGCCTACAGGGGATGGAAGACAATAAAGAAATACATGTGAACAGTCTTTCCAATTTTTTTCTTTACCTATCTGTTTTGATGGTAAGTACATCTGTGGTCTTGCAGTATCGTTCTCCTACAAGTTTAATAAATTTCTTCTTTGCATGATCATCTAAATTCAAACTGGACAGTTTAACCTTGAAAATATAAGAAAAATATTATTGAAAGCATCATTTCATATGATTTAATTTTGAAAAAGGAAGCAATGTTATATATATTAACATCAAGCACACTTTTAGACCTTTCTAAACTCCTTTCTATACAAAGTCAGCAGTTAGTACATTATAGAAGTACTAACATTACGATCGTACTCACAGGAAAAAAAAAAAAAAGGAAGTGAATATACTGTTTGGAGTTCTTTGAAAGTTCTAAGAATCAGTACCTTCTCTGAAAGAACTGATATATCTCTTAAATAAGTAAAATTATGATGCATCAATAAAATTAAACTTCATTGGTGTTAGTAAAGCTGGACTACAGAAATAACTAGATAAGACTATAGTAGCTTTAAGTACCTGTAATCCCAGCTACTTGGGAGCAGTGGCTGAAGGCTACTCCTGACAAAGTTAGCAAGAGACCCTACCTGAAAAACAAATTAAAAATAAAAGAACTGGTGCATTCTCAAGAAGTAGAGTGCTCACCTAGCAAACACAAGTCCCCGAGGTCCATCCCCACTAGTATCTTTGCCATGCAGTGATAAGACCTGCATCACTGCAACTGGTTTTGGGGCATTTATTTGTTTATTTAGACAGGGTCTTGCTACGCAATCTAGGTTGGCCTCAAACTCTTGATCCTCTTGCCTCAGGCACACGCCACCACATCTGGCTGGAACATTTACTTTTAAAAGCTACAGCTATCTCCTGGAGACTGGAGTATCACATTAGAAAAGGATCAAAACATCTGAAATCAATTTTCAAAAATTAGTATCAGCCCCACAGACTGTTAAGAATTCTTTTTTAAGGGTAGGGACAACTCAGAGGTAGAGGAACTTGCCTCACATGTACAAGGAATTGGAGTTATTCCCCAACACTGCCAAAAAGTGTTTTTAAAAAGAGCTATTTTTCAAAACACAGAATATTCTCACTTTAATTAGGCTCATTTTTTGAGACAAGGTCTCACTATATCGTTCAGGCTGGCCTTGAACTCATGATCCTCCTGCCTCACTCTCCCAAATGCTTAGACTGCAGGTGTATGCCACATCCAGCTCTAAACTGGGTTCTTTACAGTAATACTTCTTGGAGAATTTTAAATTTCAAGATGTAGTATGCAAGTGATTCTCAAATTTATTTGACCTCAGATTCCACTTTTCAAGGACAATTCATAAAATTCGTCTTCATTAAGATATATTTGGGGAAATGCTGGCCTAAATATGCACATTATTTAATCTGAAGAGAATTTCAGCATGGGGTGAAGGTATATCTATCTAGAGATGAACAGATTTGACACTGAATACAGTTAAGTAAAGCAAAGCATTGTATTAGCCCATTTTTGGTTACTATAAAGAAATACCTGCAGCTGGGTAACCTTATAAAGAAGAGTGGTTTATTTATTCACATTTCTGGAGATTCAAGGGTATGGCACTGCCATCAGAAAGACTGAAATTCATACAATAAGTAATGATCATACTGCAAGACAGAAAGCCAGAGAACAATTCAGGGGTCCTCTTGCTCTTGTAACAACTCACTCTCTAGAGAATTAGATTAGGATCCACAAAAACTGCCCAAATCCCATCGAAGAAGAGCACCCCAGTAGCCAAAGGATTTCCCACCGGTCCCCACCTTTTTTTTTGTTTTTAAACTCAGGGCTTTGTGCTTGCAAAACAAGCTCTACCACTTGAGCCACTCTTCCAGCCCAGTTTGTTCTGGTTATTTTGGAGATTGGGGGGGGGGGGGGGTCTCACAAACTTTTGCCCAGGCTGGCCTCAAACTTGGATCCTCTCTCAGCCTCCCAAATAGCTAGTGTGGAGAGCAGATTATGAGAAACCTATGAGAAATGGACATTAGCAAGGTGAGATGCAGCTCTACTGCTTTTCCTAAGATGTTTATCTGTTGACACAGCCTCAGGCACAAAAGAGGAAAATGCAGAACAGTTTCCTTCTTCTCCTAAGTTGTTTACCTTCAGAGAAGCAGGGAACAGGTTTCTCCTTGTACAATGTCACGCCCCTCCCCGCTGCTCCACCCTGTTTACCACTGGATATAAAAGACAGCCTGAAGGAGGACATGAGGCTTTTGCTTTGGGGGCTTTTGCTTGTTGGCTTTTTGATGTGGGAGGCTTTGGAAGGGAAAAGAATTGCTAAAGAGGGGTTATAGAAAGTCTGCACCAAGAACTTTATACATAGGCTTTAGAAAAGCTAAGCTAAAGAAAAGTGACAGAGAACATGGGACAGTGCAAGTCTGGGGGCAGACTTAACATGGGACAGTGTGAGTCTCAGGAGACTTTAAAGAACAGAAAAGAAGACTTTAAAAGCAGGGTTTTAAAGAATTGTAAAGAATAAAGATAGAGAGAAGCAAGTAAATGAAGATTAATAGAGAAAAAGAAGCATTGAGGGTTGTGGGTCTCCAAACGAGCACCCAACACACATGGCCCCACTGTCTGTCAGTCTGTCTATCCTGTGTCCTTTCTGCATCTCCAGTTACCCCTCCACCCTCCAACCCATTAGGCCCAGTTAGGTTCAGGAATAATCAGGAATGAGAGAAAAAACTCGCTGTAGCTAGGATTACAGGCTTGAACCACCTCTGCCTCTCTCAGGCCCTACCTCTTAAAAGTCCCATCTGCTCCCAACATCACCACTCTGGGGAACAAGTTCCCAATGCACGAATCTCTGGGGGACAAATGCAAACCATATTCAAATCACAGCAAGCATAAATTAATTTCCCATGGACAGCATCAAGAATAAGAAAGTTGTAACTCCATGAAGAAGGAAAAAGGCTAAACAGGACATTTAAATCCCATCTGGTTCTTATCTCTAGCTTCACTAACTCTGCACTTCCCTCAAGATACCACAGCACAGTAGTTTATTTACTTGCCCATTCTCCCCCACTGAACTGCAAGCCTTTGAGAGTGGGAATAATGTCTGTTTTGTTCTTAGCTAGGGCCTAGAACTTGAAAAGCATTCAATAAACATCTGCTGAATGAATATGTAAATTTTTAAAAAGATGTAATTTTAAGTACTGATTTTCAGCCTGACAGCTAAAATAATCCATTTTATGATAACCGACTACTAGTAACATGGACGATTACTGATATGAAAATAAAAAAATGTACCTACCTTAAAACTACATGTATACATACATATGCATGTATGCAGACAAAAATGACAATTTTTACATCAGAATAGTGAGAAAGTAGTGATTTTTCCTTCTAAAATTCTCTTCAATGAAATCAAAATATTTAACAATACATTAAAATTTTTAAGCTTTTTGCATGTCCCAGGTTTTTATGCAAGTGGTCAAATGTGGCAGTGATGCTGATTCTTATCATAACAACTGCTTTACCGCTCATTCACATTAACATAACTGCACAGTTTATGCCAGAAACTCATAAACAGTTGTGTGGTGCACTCACACCACCTGCTAGCACTCAAAGGCACTGCAAAATTGTAGTCTTTAATCTGGACGAACACTGGCTCCAAAGTTGAGTGGCATTCATTGTCTTTCTTCACCAAAATTCAACAGCTGTTTTTTTTCAAGTTGCTATTTTTCAAAGAATAGGGCAAACAACAGGTATTGTGCTATTAACATTATCCCCAAAATAATACTGACATTTCGAATCACAGGATACTGTTATATGTGTCTCTAAGTATCTGTTATTAACACAAAAGACCTACACAAAATTGAGAAATGTCTAAGCACATGGAATATCTTACTAGGTTGCAAATATGGTGTTAAAGAGGTCTGGTGTTTACACATAAGACAAGACACAGTTTGATTTCTAGGTTTGCCTCTTGTTAACGTGACTCAAATGAATCATCTTACCTCACAAGACTAGGTTTCCTCAGGACAATTTAACACACAGGACTTTTGTTAGTAATAAATCACATTAACAGAAGAAAGCACTTTATAGATGTAAGGTAGGTTTTTTGTTGTTGTTGTTTGCAGTCCTGGGGTTTGAACTCAAGGCCTCATGCTTACTAGGCAAGCACTAGGGTCTTGTGTTTTTGCCCAGCCAGCCTGGGACTGCATCCGCCCACGTAGGTAGGCCCACAGGCATGCACCACCATGTCCAGTTGAGATGGGGGTCTCACTGACTTTTTTGCCCAGGCTAGCCTAGAACTGTGACTTCCCAGTCTTCAACTGTTCTGTAGCTAGGATTATAGGCATGAGCCACCACACTCAGCAAACATAAGGTGCACTTACTTCTGACACTACTTCAAGATTACTGAGAAAAACAAAACCACTTTCCTTCTCTGGATCTAAAATGTGAATACCAATGCACCAGGGCAGAGCAGGAGGCAGGACTCAAGGTCCTAGTGCCTCACTGGGCTCCTCAGTGCCCCAGGCTTCCCATGCCAAGACCTACAGCAGGGATCTACACCAGAAGGTGGAAAAACATTTCAAGATGGAAAACATACAGTATGAATAAATGTCAGGAACAGACAAATTCATAAAGACAGAGAGTAGATGCTTGAGAAGGGGTAAATTGACAGTGGCTGCTAATAGGATTTCTTTTGTGGTGATGAAAATTTCTGGAGTTAGTACTAATCATTGCACAACTTTGTGAGCATAATAAAAACTACTAAATTTCATACTTCAAAGAGTGAATTCTGTAGTACATGAATTACATCTTAATAACGCTATAATTGAAAGAAATGAAAGTATAAAAGAAACCAATACACCATCAAAATGGGCAAACAACAAAAGTAAGCATTTTGCAAAGGAATAAATTCTCAACCACATTAGTACTAAATTATATGTCTGAATACTAAAAGGTTGAGAATTTACCTCTTTGCAAAACACTTATTTTTAATTACAAAAATTTAACCTTGTGAATGTACAGAAAAATAGGCTTTCTCTATAATCTACTAGTGTAGTGTCTTTTATACTTTGTAAGCGTGAAGCCCTGAGTTCAAACCCCAGTTCATGCAAAAAAGAAAACTGTTGAGGCTGAGGGTGTAACTCAAGTGGTAGAGGGCATGCCTAGCATGGGCTGAGGGGGAGATGGAGGAAGAAGAGAGGAAGGGAGGAAAGGAGAAGGGAGGAAGGAAGCAGGAAGGCAGGAAGGGCAACCTTGAAACCTCTTTTAATTTTTGAGATAAAAGTTTCACTATGTAGTCCAGTATGGCCTCAAACTTGTGAACCTTCTATCTCACTCTCCTGTGAATGCTGGAACTGCAGGTATGAGCTACCACACCTGGCAAAAAGGAAACTATTAAAAATCCAATGTCCATAACATGAGTAACTTAATACATTATGACAGATCTAAGCTGTGACATTATTTGTATCTCTCATTTCAGTTTCAGAAAAAGAATTATATTAGAATTGTTCAACACTGTATCCCCATGGGCTAGAGATGTAGCTCAGCAGTGCAGTGCTTGCCTGGCATGTGTAAGGCTCAGAAAACCAAAAAACCCCACACCCTCAGCTTTAAACACTGTTTCGAATAGATGCTCACTTATATATTATGTAGACATTACAAGTAAAATTAAAGAATATTTAATAATATTACGAAATGTTTAATTCTTATTAAGAGTAAAAGAAAAGATTACTAAACACATCTAACATCATTCCATTAAAATACACAAAGACTGTCTGTATATATAATAAAATGAGCTACTGTTGTTAACTGAACTTATTTCTGAGTGGTATATTTTTAGGCAATTTTATCCTGTAATTTAAAATTTTCATATTTTCCACAATAAACATGTATTAAGTTTTGTAGTCACATACAAAATGCATTTTTATATAATGCACTATAATGATTCTTGTTTTTTAAAAAATCTCTTACCCTCAGGGTTACTATTCGAGCTTTGGGGTTTCGAATACATGGTCCTGATGAGACATAATCAGCTGTGTCGATTTCAATTGGAAAATGCTTCTCACATTTCTCATCACTGCTAAGTGCAGCTGGCCACTGAGTGCAAAAATCTGAGAATTTTAAAAAATTATCTCAATTATTCTTTTGCAAGTAAATTCTCATTGCAGTGCATGCTAACAGACAATACCCTATTAGTGACACCGCTCGCAGGTCACACGCAAAAGCACAGAATCTCGCTTGCATGCCACATACACAGCATCACCTCTCATCTCTTTTTCTTAGTTACATCCTAGTTAGGGAATTTAATCAAGAGCATGATTTGAGTATTTTAGGTTTAGTGGGGAGTAGTATGTTCAGTTAAAGGGAACTATGGGGCTGGAGGTGTAGCTCTGTGATAGAGTTCATGCTTTACTTGCATGAAGTTCAATTACCAACACCAAAATTTAGAATAAAAAAGAAAGGCCCTGGTGGCTCACACCTGTAGTCCTAGTTACCCAGGAGGCAGAGATCAGGAGGATTGTGGTTCGAAGCAAATAGTCTGAGAGACCCTATCTCGAAAAACCCATCACAAAAATAGGGCTGGCGGAGTCGCTTAAGATGTAGGCCCTGAGTTCAAGCCCCAGTACTGAAAAATAAAAAAGAAAGGAGAGAGACTGTGTCTTGATGGCAGTGTACTATGGCTCTGCATATATCTATTATGGGATAGTTTAACTGCTCCCTACCAATTAAAAGAAAATAGTTCAGTGCCCAGAGAATTATTTATGAAAAGTGACAGATAATATTAATTCACTCTCAAATGAAGGTTACTAGTAAAGATCAGCTGAAAGGAACTGAAAGAAGCCCTAGAGAATCTCTAAGAGGTAACTGAAGTGTGGTCAGCAAATCTTTCAGAAATTGAGTTACAGAAAGCCTCAACTCAAGGGGAGGAAGGAGAGGGGTTAAGAAAGAGTAATAACAGCTGGCGGAGTGGCTCAAGTGGGAGAGCACCTGTGTAACAAGCAAGAGGTCCTGAATTCAAAACTAGAACTGCCAAAAAAAAAAGTAATACTATAGGTGGGTGAATTTGATCAAAGAACATTGTATGCATGTATGTAAGTATTGTAATGAAACCCCTTTGTACAGTTAATTTATGCTAACAAAAAATTTTAAAACCTAAAGAAAGCTTCAACTCAAATAGGTTTAAAAGCATGGGTCATCCTTATGTGTAGCCTTAAAATAACTCGTTTCTTGCATGTGGCTTCAATGAGCCAATGGGGCTCAGTGGAAGCAGAAACAGCTCTGTCCTCATATCAGGCAAGAAAGCCCAGTGAGGAGGTGGGTCTGGGCCTGAGACCCAGGCTGCAACAGAAAGTTCAAAGTGCTGAGCATGGTACTGACTTGAGGGGTCAAACACGTGGAATCTCATGGATCCATACTTTCTCTAATAAAGCACTGCAAGAGAGGCTGATCTAATCACAGGCAGATGTGGGAGCTCTTCTAAGACACAGCGAGAGGTACTTTGCCAATAGCACTTCCCCAAGCTAACAATTTTCAACTGGTAGGTACTATATTTTGCTCCCTTTGGGCTTGACTTTAAAATCAGTAAGTAAAATATCACTTTGGGTTACAAAGACTCTCTGATATCTGGGACTAAATAAATGCTCACAAATTAAGCAGCATCACACCATTCCCTAAACTTTCTGTTTAAAAGATCAATACTTAGTCACTTTGAGGGGACAGAAGTATCTCTGGAATTAAGAACATTTTGACATTTAAAACAATGAGCACAGTAAGACTCGGTTGAATGTCATCCCCATCATGGCCTAATTTCAATATGCTACACTAAAAGATGTACCATTTTCACAGCACTTTTATTTATTTATTCATTCATTAATTCTGGCGGTAGAGGGTTTGAACTCAGGGCCTCATGCTTCTAAGAAGGCACTACCACTTGAGTCACTCTGCCAGCCCAAGTGACAGCCCTTTATAATAGACAGACTATTCTGGAGAATTATATAAGCTTTTGGTTTTACAAAAATCTTTTTTTTCTTTTTAAACCTTGAATAAGTCATTTCAATCACCAGATGATAATTACAGTTTTTAAATTAAACTACCTAAATTATGTCTAAAAAACCACAGCCAAATGGAAAGTACATAATAGATTCCCATTAGCCTTTACTCATCTGATAGGTAAAGCAAATGACTAGACTTTAAAAGACCTTGGCTTACTTTCCTGTATTTCAAATTTTCCATTTGCATGGCAGATATAAAATCTGAACTGACCTACTTTGAAAGAAAATTGAAATGTTTTAAAATTCTGAGTTATTTGGATGACACAATTTAAATCCCGAGACTGGCAGAAGTGTAAAGATGTAATTAAGGAAAGAATAAGACACTTATTTAAGTTCTGTAAAAAAAATGAAGCTACCTGGGGGGAGAGTACAATGCAAGTAATCTTAGTACTGCTGGGCAATCCTGAAGATGTCAGATTCAAGTAAAAGTATCAGCGAGAATTTCTATGAGGAGGAATTAGATGAGGAAAATGTGATTTTAACATCTGTTCCAGTTACAGAGGAACCTAACAAGAACATCTAATGGAACACAGTGTTTCAACAGCAGATATCAAACATGCAGGTATCAAACCTATGTAAGTCTAAGAAAAACAATAAAGTTCACCTTCCACAAACAAATGAACAATTCAAAGCTTGCCTGAAACCTAATTATAAAATCCTTCCCTTGTACCATTGTGCCTCTGGTTAATAAGGTGTTTCAGGACACTTTGTGGAATTGGTGCCAACAATTTGAGAAGGAAATAGAGGTTTACTTGAGTCTCCAGAACATCACAAGAGGTCAGACAGCAGCAATGTTCCAGGAAATGCACAAAGGTGGTCAAGGGACCAGGTTTCAGAAAAGTCGTAATGGGAGTAGGAAGACTAACACAGAGAAGGCTAGCTGGAGTGATAACCTCAGTCCACATTGGCATCCTGGGCAAAAATTGCTGCAAGAGTTGTTCAGTCCAAGACTGTGAATTTCTGTTCCATGGAGGCCTTTTTCCTGCAAGCCTTGGGTATCAGGGGGTGTGTGGCCCATGGCAGAGTTCTCCCTGCAGAGGTAACTGGATGACTTTACATGCATTTTCATATACATCACACTTGGGTCTCTGACACTCACAAAAGGATGATTTTCCTCTTCCTGTTACCAGCCCATACTTTCCTATCCCCAGGATTAGAAGATAATGTTATGCCCTGCATGTGTTAAAAGGATTAAGACCATGATGAAAAAATTAATTATAACAGAAAAAAATAACACACTGTAGGAGGCCAGAATATGTCACCCCAAAATATGTCACCTTAAACAATGCTGAAGCAGTATTTTGATCTGAAGCCAACCAAGAAGAAGCAAAGAAAAGCTTTTTGCCTCCTGCCATAGGCCAAAACCCAGGACATGAGTTTACAGATGTCTATCTTCCCATCTCTAACAGGACAAACACTGGGCTGTCCATACATATATTCACAGGCATCTGATAATTGCTGTGCTGTGGCCACAGCATCTTTGGTGTCTCCTCATGCCTTGAGTCAGACAGTTACATAGGAAGCAAAGGTTATTTTAATTAATAGATTTTTTTTTGAGCAGTTTCAGGCTTACACAATAACTGAGTTCACATATAGTTCCCTCCTCCAGATTCTTCTATTGTTAAACCTTTGTATGAGTGTGGTACATTTGTTACACTTGATGAGTCAATATTGATACGTTATTAACTAAGATCTACAGTCTGGCCGCATGAAAGTTCATGGCTGCAGGCCAAGCACGCAGAATATGGAGGAAGAAGGATGATGAGTTCCAGGCCAGCCTCCGCTATGCAGGGAGCTCTAGGCCAGTCTGGGCTGTGCAGTGAGAACTTGTCTCAAAAAGAAAAAAGAAAAGCAATGTCTATAGGTTATGGTAGTTTTGTCTTTTCTACAGTGTCATACATTTGGGATTATACAGCATGTAACCTTTCAGACTGGCTTTTCCCCAGCAATATGCTTTTATTGTGTCTCTTTTTATGGACAGGTTTCTTGTCAGTGCTAAGTAATATTCCATTGTCGAGAATGACACAGTTTATGTTATTGAAGGTCCTTTGGTTGCTTCCAAGTTGTGGCAATTTTTTAGTTTTGTTTGTTTGCTTTTTGTTTTGTTTTTCTGAGACAGGGTTTCATCTTGTAGCACAGGATGACTTCAAATTTACAATCCTTTTGTCTCAGCCTTCCTAGTGCTGGGATTGCAAACGTGAGCCACCACACCTGGCAACCTTTGGCAATTATGAATAAAACTGCTGTAAACAACTGTGTGCAGATATTCTTAATAGTTTATTTTTATTGTGTATAACATTTTAGGATAATAATTATGATTGACAGCACTACATAAGCGCCACTAAGTTTGCCTTGTTACAATTAGGAACACATGCACAAACCTGTAAAAGGCTATCACATTAACAGTTTTAATTTGGAGAACACCAGCTTGGTATAGTATCTTTTTAAACATTTGGTTCGAGGCCAGCCAGGGCCAATAGTTCATGAGATCCCCATCTCCAAAAATAACAGAGCAAAATGGACTGGAGGTGTGGCTCATGTAGAAGAGCACCTGCTTTGAGTGTGAAGCTCTGAGTTCAAACCCCAGTACCACCCTCCCCAAAAAAAATTAGGATTATAGAACTATTTCATTAAAATGGTTGGTTGCCAGCACATCAAAAGAAAGATCAGTTGCTAGATTATAAGCATACTTAAAGATAATTTTTAAAAAGGAAAAAATGGGATTTGCACAGAAATGTGTTTGTTAATTGATTTTTACAAAGGATCAAAAAGTGGTATATGATTTGAGCCAAGCAGAGCACAAATTTGGAAGAGTGCTCCAGTTTTCTTCCAATTCCAAGAACAGGTGAACAGAAACAGACACTGAAAAGGGACAGGAAAACATCCTAATGGCATAAAGCAGACAAACCCATAAATGAGAGAAAACAGTTTTCTTCCCTCATTTCAGGAGTAAGATTACTATTCCTAAGGATCTCAACTATTTTCTTCCTTGTACTTTTTAATGCAAAGCCCTCCTGAAAGCTCAAATTTAATCATAATTACATAATTTAATCATAATTACATTAATTGGCCTATTTTTCCTTCCAATAGAATTATGAAATGTATCTGGGTTTCATTTTTTTCCAGAAATGTCATTGAATATTTTACACACCTTTAAATCAGCATGAACACATTAAGACTTTAACCAAAGGGGCTGATTCTTTTGAATTAAATGGCACAATCAATCACTTGTGCGAACCACAAACAATTCAAATGTGCTTATTCTATGTACAAATGCAAATTAGATCAGAATTAAATTGGAATATATACATAGTAATGAAATTTAACAGTGAAAAAAGTCTGCCTTCACCCCACATGGGAAGGAGAAAGAGTAGAAGCATAAGTGCATGAAATCTATGTTTATACCAGGGATCCACAGATACTGTTCAGAATCCATCTACTGAGCTGGGGATGTAATCATATGCTGGCGGTCACTTGTATTACCTACTCACATACACACTCAACAGCAAGAGTATGTATCATAAACAAGCATAAGTGAGTTCCTTCTCTGCAAGTAATTATTAGAGTTAAATAATGATTCAAAGAGAACATGCTGGGTGAGGGGCTGCTTTCCATGCTAGCCTCTTCTATTTGAGTCACCACATACATGTACCACTTTTAAATTTTCTAAAATTTTAAACGGCTCCCTCAGGAAGATTCTTTCTTCTGTGTGGCATCCCGTCACTGAACCCGCTGACTATTCTGCTACCCAGCATCCTCTCGCTACCTTCACTTTGAACTGTATAGATTTGCAAACACGGGCGACACTGCAGTACTTTCTTCAGAGTTACTACATATGCGCTTTCAGCAATAAGTCCCTGAATTCTGGCTTCATCTTTCTTTCGTGTTGTTCTTAGGTTTTCAGTTTTTGAGACAGGCTCTTCCTCTGCAGCTCGGCTAGCCATCAACTCACACTCCTCCTGCCTCAGCCTCCCAAGCAGCTGAGATTACAGGTGTGCACCACCACGACCCAGCTTAGCCTTCGGCTTCTACTTGGTATTCATAACACTTGTCGAGTGATTAGCAAAAGAAGTTTGTGGATTTGAAATTAGCAGTTCACTGAAAACAACTTAAAAATCTTTCTTTAAGAAGGGAGAAACTGACAATGCCTCAGAACACAAGGCTATATTTCATTAGAGCTGAGATTCCTAATTCTATGTCCAAGGTCAACATAATGTTTATGATAGGAAAACAAACGGCTTACCTTTAAGAGCTTCACAGTGCTTTTTAACTGCTACAGGAGTCAAATGCAGAAAATTGGGGATCTAAAATGAGAAGTTTAAAGAATAAATTATAGTTAAATGTCTTTTTAAAACTTTTTCACTGAAATAAAATCTCAGTATGTTGCCCAAAATGATCTCAAACTCATGGGCTCAAGACATCCTCTTGCCCCAGCCCCCTGAGTAGTTGGGACTACAGGGATGTGCCACCACACCCGACTACTAAATGTCGTGAAAATATGAAAAAGATAATTTTCTCACAAAACTAAATCACAGGCACAACACATTTTATTTATGTAGAAAATAAAATCTGACAGTGCTTTTACAATACTATGTCACAGGTGTTGTCAATTCAAGAAACAAGTTCCTTAAAATATAGATTCAGTACCAAATAGCTTATAAAGATACTCTGGTTCATCTTCAGATGGTATAAATTGTCTTTTATCAAGTATCTTACAACAATCATGCTAGAAAAATAAGCATCATTTTTATAGCACTCTTTCTGTCATCAATTTATAGGTATACTTAAAAAACTGAAAGCACTCCAGGACACTGGTCATTGTTTAGGCATCCCAGTTCTCAGACAATGTCTAGCATGGTGTTACTTACACTTTGCAAATAATACACATTTGTGAACTGAATGAATAAAGCAAGCAAATCTTAACAGTTTAATGAAGAATATACTCATGATGATACAATAAAAGGCCACCAAGTCATTCATGAAATCAACGAGAATTTAAGGAAACTGGATTCCTTCAAATAAAATTAACATTTACTAACACATTTCTTAAATAGTAGCAAACATGTAAATAAAAAATTTAGCTTTTTTTTGGAAATGAAAATTTTAACAAGCAGAAAGTTACTCTAGGAATCAAGCCAGCAATCTTGAGTGTTGATTAGAAAATCTTTCTTTTAATCAAGAGAAAATAGATATCAAACATTAGGATTATTGGATGGGTGGATTCATCTTCTGTACTCCTTTTCTTTTTGGTGGTGGTAGTACTGGGGTTTGAACTCAAGGCCTCACTTGAGCCACACCGCCATATTTTTTACTTTGTTTTTAAGATACAGTTTTGAATTTGTTTGTTTTGCATGGGGGTGGCCTCAGACTGCAATCCTCCTACCTACTGCCTCCCACATGTTTGCAACCAGAGGTACACACAAACAGGCCTATCTTATTGGTTGAGATGGGGGTCTCACTAACTTTTTGCTAGAGCTGCCCTCAAACCACAATCCTCTCAACCTCCACCTGAGTGGTTCTGAAACATGAAAATATAAACCTCAAGATCAGGTCTGTGGGTATAGCTGAAGTGGTACAGCACTTGCCTAGCAAGCACAAAACCTTGTGATCAATCTCTAGTACCGTGCCCCTAAAAAAAAATATAAAAGGAAAACAATAATAGCTAACATTTGCATGAACTTACACAGGCTCCATTCTAAGCACTTTGCATACTTTAGGTCAGTTAGCACATTCAGTGATTCTATCTCTGGGAATATAGGGAATGCACGAAATATTGCATACTTCTTTGTTAACACAGCATTCACAGCCATCAGCATTATTACGGCTGCTCTCTCCCACCTAGTGACCTCTTCCAAAGACGGTCTCTCAGTCCCTCTCTCACAGTACTAGGGTTTGAACTCAGGGCCTCATCCCTGCGAGGCTACTGCTCTACCACGTGAGCCACATTCCTAGCCCTTATCTTTAAGTTCTTTTCTCTTAATTTGAAGATTTGCTTTCCTCAATGTTTGTCTTATAAAATATTCTCATTTCCAAACTTCATTTACTTCTATTACCAGAAGAGAGTACCTCTGTGCCCTGTGTGTCTCATTTTTAAAAACATAGACATTTCTTTTCTTTTTTTTAAGGGGAGGGTGGATTTCTTGAGACAGGGTCTCACTATTTTGCCCAGGTTGGCCACAAACTTGCTTTGTAGCCCAGGCTGGTCCCAAGCTTTTGATTCTCCTGTCTCAGCCTCCCAAGTGCTGGGATTACAGGCATGTACCACCACACCCAGCTCTGTCTCATTTTTCAACAACAACTTTTAGCAATTTTTTGTTTTTTAGCAGCCTTTTTATCTAGTGAAAACCAAAGTTCATTCCTATTACATGATAACTTCCATTGTATGTAAAATGGTACCATTGAAAACACGCATTCCCAGGGTAAGATTTATACTTTCTTTAAAAAACCCTATAGTTCATCACAAGTCATTATAGATGTTATCAAGTGAAGCACATAATATTACTTATTTTAAGTAGTAAAGAAGTTAGTCGATGGGGCTGGTGTTGAGGCTGAAGCAATAGAGCACCTATTAGCAAGTGCAAGGCCCCAAGTTCAAGCCCTAGTACCTTACCAAAAAAAAATTAGTTGGTAGACTAGAAAAATAAATTTAAATAACATTCTACCTTTCTGGAAAGAAAGTTTTATAATTCGTCTTTTAAAAGTAGAACCTCACTTCCCAATTCTGTCTCAAATTAGGTTACTTAGCTTTTGTTAGTTCTGCTTGAAAGATCGAATATAAAGAAGATATGTAGAAAGGCCATTCTTAAATGCCTGGGGTTCTTTGACTCTTCTTTCCAAAGGCTAATCAAAATGCAACATCCATTACTGCCTGAAAAAAATTAAGTATGGCAAGCTGCTCTATGCTGAACCTTGAAGTATGAGAGAGTAGAATGGAGAAAAGATCAGCATTCACTTAGGAATTTCTTACCTTCAAAAGTTCTAGATTTCCCTCCTTTGCCATGGGCACACCCTTTTTTACTGGATAACCCATTCGAACAGGTAGAGGCACCACAGAGGGTTTAAATGGAGCTGCCACAGGGTAAACACTAGGCCAGTCCTGGTCAACAGCCATTTTCTCAGTCCTAGGAGGTAATGCCTAAGAAACACAAAATACTTACATATTTTAAATAAAAACAAATTCTTTAACTTAAAGCAAATGCTGCAATTATGAGACATAAAAATTAGAACTGCCACCTATATAAAATCTGACTTCCAACAAATCTGCTATTCAAATGAAGAAACACTACCGCTGTATAAATATTTCTGTACTGTTGCTTCAAACCCTCTGGCAAAAATCCCTTTTAATGTCAAATTTCCTTCACTAAAAGTTGAGGCTTTCAGTAAAAGTTTTATATTTTGTTTCTGAAGTGTTAACAATATATTTTGAAGTAATTTTTAAAACTTCTTTGATGGAAGACAGTACATGAGGGGCCATTAAGAACTTGAAAATAAGGAAGACAAAGAGTAAGAATTTGGAAATAAGTAAATTAGGAGTAAACAAACTGAATAAATACATAATAAGAAATTATATGTCTCCTAGGCCAGAGAAAAATTACTAGATAGCTTAGTCAATCACATTAGTATATATATTTTAAAATACGATATGAAATAGAAGAGGGTGGCCAGCATACAAAAGTAGGGTTTAAGGTGGCAAAATCCAGCAGTGCCCAACTAAGCCATCTCAAAACCATGAAGTATAAGAAGCAGCCAATACTCCTGTGAAAATTACTGTTCTCAATGACTATCATTCGATGCCATTTAACTTCCAAGTAACGTGCCTTTGACTCCATACTCATCAATTGACCATGTAATCTGGATCCCTGTAGAGATGCCCACCGATGTCTAATGCAAACACTCAGGCTGTATGGATGCTAACGGCATCATCAAAACCAGTTCTCTATTCTGGCTTATATATCTGTTCCCTGGGAGTATGTGGGTCATTCTGCATCTCAAAGATGGCCCATTCTCTGGATATAGACAAAAAAAGAAAGAAAGGTCAAAAACTAACACCATCAGGGCTGTGGCAGTCACCAGTGAACCTGGGAAGCCTGCTCTGGCAGTAACTACCTCACTTCAGGATTTCAGAAGCCACACTAAAGTACATAACTGTTCACCTTTCTTCTCAGTTGCCTTTCACTTCTGGATATTCTTCCTGTTGTACCTACAAGGACGTAATTGTGATAGAGAATTTAATAATGTAGAAATATTCAACATTAATCATTATTCCAAGTTCTAACACAATTTAAGATGCAGTGAAATAAACAAGGAAACTAATCTATTTTAAGTTCAGAGACTAAAATCATCTTAATGAAAACAAAAAGTCTGAAGTATTTCAAAAAATCCTATATGCTATTTCAATAGTTTATTGTGATTGCCTGGTGTAGTGACACTCATCATCTAAAGAAACAGTCTCATAAGCTTTAAGATTCACAACAAATAAGGCTGCAACTCCACAAATTAAAATATCTACTTAGAAGTATGTTTGAATCTTTAAAAAATAATCGGTTAACAACGAGGGAAAACAAGGGGGGGAGACAAAAGAGAACGGGAAAAAGAAGGGGGAAAATAAAAAGTAAAAGGGAGGGGAGAGGAAAAAAAAAGGGGAAAGAACAGTGAGACAGGGGGAAAAAAAGGGGAAGAAGGGAAAGGAGGAAGGGGGGAAAGGGGGGGGAAGGAGGCAGAAGGGGGGGAAAAAACGGAAGGGGGGAAGGGGAGAAAACGGGGAGGGGGAAAAAAGGAAGACCGTTACAGAAAAAGGGTGGCCAAGGGGGAGGAAAAAAGGGAAAAGGGAAAAAAAAAGGGAGGGAGAATACAGGAAAGGTAAGAGGGACAAAGAAAAAAAAAAAAGAAGAACGGAGAGGGGACGAGAAGAAAACAATTAGAAAACCGGGAGGCGAAGTGGGAAAAGGGGAGGGAATAAAAAAAAGGGGGGAAAGGGGGGGGAAGGGGGAACACAACAAAAAAGGGAGGGCCGGAAAAATTAAGGGAGAAAGAGAAAGGAAAAAATACCATTGGGTTTTTGATTCCCCCTAGTTTGTAAATATACTTGCTCATATTTGGAATTACTTTATTTTTTTTTTTTCTTTGAAAAGACAATCCTCAGTCTTTCTTTTTCTATTGTACATGAGAACTGCCAATGTGCTAGGCATGGTGACACACACCTGTAAGCCCAGCACTCAGGAGGTTGAGGCAGGAGGATCAATAGTTTCCAGCCATCCTGGACTACATAGTGAGACTGTCTCAAAAAACAAAATCAAAACCCCAACACTACCAATGCTACAGTAACAAAATCCACAGCCATTCCTAAGTCACATGACAACAGAAGAGGACAGATTACTCACATATAGAAAACACCTTTTAAAACACTACCCTATGCCTCTCTAAATGTTTTACTGTACTAAAATAATAGGGATATTAAGCATTCCCACATGCAGAACCTGAGCTAAATGCTTTTCATTCATCATTATCTCATCTCATTCACTATAACTAACACAAGTAACTATTATTATCCTTATTTATGTCATTTGTAGTTTAAAAAAAAAACTAAAGAGCAAGAAACTGTATGGGTATGGTGGCTACCAGCTATAATCCCAGCTACCTAGGAGGTTGAGATTGCAAGGACTGTGGATCCTCATGGACAAAAAGTTAGCCAGACCACATCTCAACCAACAAGTTGGGCATGGTGGCACATACATGTGATCCCAACTATGAGGGAGGTATACTGACCAGCCCAAGGCAAAAATACAAGACACTTTCTCAAATATAATTGAAGTACAAAGGTGCATGACTCAAGTGATAGAACACTTGCCAGGCAAGCATGAGGCCCTGAGTTCAAACACAGTACAGCCAAATAAATAATAAATTAAGGGTGACATGAGCAAAGCATACAAGATTCTTCATACTCTGGTTCACCATCTCTAGCTTCATCTCCCTTAACAGTGAACATCCAGTACCTGGCCCTTCAGCCTTTCTCTGAACTTCATTTTCTGCTCAACTATATTAAGAATACCCAGATGGCTGGTAAAGTACTACTTCTGGGTGTCTGTGAGGGCATTTCCAGAGCAGACAATAGTCAGGTCTGTGAGTTGGTGGACTGAATGGGGAAAATCCATTCTCAATTCCCTCAATGTGTGTGTGTATTGGAGGTGTTCTGGGGGAGATACAGAACAGAAGAAAGGTGAATTTGTTCTCTTGCTCTCCCAGCACTGGAATGTTCTCCTCACTTAGACTGAGCCATGTTACTGACATCCTGTGTTGCCTACTGTGGGACTTCTCAGCCTCAATAATCACGTGAGCACATCCCCTACTGAATCTTCTCTCATCTGCCTATCTACCCATCTATCCATCTTACTGGTTCTGCCTCTTGGAGAACACTGTCTACTATGACTGGGGAATCCCACCTGAGAAAATAAGCTTTGAGCTAAAACCTGAAGGATAAGCAGAAGACAGCCATGGAAACAGGCATTGAGAAAAAGTGTTGCCAAGAAGTGACAGAACATGGAAAACTAAGGGAAGTAACCAGCTTCAAATACAGTAGGGCTGATATTTAAGAGCAGAACAGAGAGGCTCAAGACTTTACTGGGCTTCTCAACCAGGCTTGGTAGACTGCTTGATTTCCTCTTTGCAGTCATCCCAATCCCTGTAAACGGTACTGCCATTTGCCTAATTATTCAGCACAAAAATCTAACAGGCTTCCTTGAAACTTGTCCTCAGAACCACATCAAATCCATCAGTAGGTTTTATAAGCTCTACCTTCAAAATCTATACTGAATCCAACTACATCACCTTCTTTAATATTACCCCAAATCACCATCACCTCATCTGGACTACTGCAACAACCTCCAAACCTGTCTGTGACTTCCACTGTTGAACCACTGAAATTAGTTCTCCACAAAGCAGCCAATGATCTTTTAAAAGTGTAAGTTACATTTTATCACTTCCCTACTCAAAGCTCTCCAATGTGACTCCAACTCATAAAAAAATCCAGCCATATATCAAAACTGAATGCCTTCAAGCCCTCACAAGATCAGACTATTACTTAACTGTCTCACTCTTCACCTGCCACGCTCCCCATTAGTCAGGTTGGCATTACTTCTGCTCCTGGATCACACCCCAGCCTTGTCCTCACTTTGCACCTAACATTTCCTTAGGCCAAGAATGCTCTCGTCCCAAATCTCTGCATGGCTTTGGGCTCTGCTCATGGCAGAATGGCTCAGGTGGGAGAGCACCAAGCAAGAGGTCCTGAGTTCAAACCCCAGTCCCGTCAAAAAACAAACAAATGCCATTTCCTCTGAGAGGTCTGACTACCCTATCTTATTCTACCCTACAACCACTACTCTCCCAGTACATCATTCTTAATAAACACTATGACATTTTATGTAGTTGTTTACTTTTTTGCCCTCTGAACTCCCCAAAAGAACGTACCCTACTGGGTGTCTACAACACTGCCTCACATACAGTAGGAGTTAAGTACTCAGGATAACAGAAGAAAAAATTAGAAACAGGTCCTGCAGGTATAAGGGCCATTAGGATGTATCTAGGAATTTGTAATTTATCCGAAAGCCACTTGTAGATTCTCGACCCGGGAGTAGCAAGACAAGATCTGAGTTTTGAACGTCCCCCTCCGGCTCCTGCGAGGACTGAACGCGGGAGGGGCGCTGCACTGAAGGGCGAGCCTGGCCAGCGTCCTTTCCTCCGCGGAGCGTCCTACAATCCGCGGGTGAAGGTCGTCCTCTCAGGACTTGGTATCGGGCTGTCCTTTCCTCTGGCACAGCTGTGCGGGACTAGCACTTGGGGCGCCGTAACCACATGGACCCGGGAGAGGAAAGGCCCAGCTCGCGGCTTCCCCACCCGCTGCAGCAAGGGCGGCGGATCGGTCTCCGCGGCCGCAGTTCGCCCTCACCAAGCCCAGGCCCGTGGGCGACGCAAGATACTCACGCGGACTGGGTCTCGCAGCGTGGGTGGCCGGGCTCACGGCGGTGGAGAAGGCGCGCAGGCTCTTAACCACCGGCCGCGGGCCGAGCCACAGCAGGAACACGGCAGGCGCCATGCCGCACGGGGAAGGGACGGCACGCTGTGCGTCGGGGGGCGGGGGCCGAGCGGTGGGCGTGTCCTGTCTCGCCACGCCCTCGCATGCAAATACTTGCAGGGCGCTGGTGTGGATCCAATGCCAGAGCCCAAGGGCAGATGATACCCCAGGATAGATAAAAGTCATGGAAGGAAAAACAATGATTTTAATCAGTTCAGAGACCACTGCGAATGAGGACCATAGGGAGTGGGGGAATATGGCTCACAGAGGCCTGGCGTGGTGGGGGTTGGACCTCAGCTGGCACAGGAGTAGGGTGGATTAACATACAACCCTTTATAAAATTACTCTATTTTTATAGCAAAATGCAAAATTATAAGAACAACAACTTTCAGGAAGCATACAACCGGTAGAGCTGGAGTATCCGGCAAACATACTACTGTTTTCTTTTCTTTTTTTTTTTTTACTGGGGTTTGAACTCAGGGCCTACACCTTGAGCCACTACACAAGCCCTTTTTTGTGAGATAGGGTCTTGGAAACTATTTACCTTGGCTGGATTCGAACTACGATCCTCCTGATCTCTGCCTTCTGAGTAGCTGTAATTACAGGTGTGAACCACAAGCGTGCCTGGCATTCTTGCTGTGAGCATTCACCGTGCCTGAGAGTCAAACAGTATGTGTGTTCCTACACAGGGCACAAATGGCATGACATGTATGCATTTGCATTAATCACTGTCCTCATCTTTTCTGACCTCTTTCCATCCCACTATTGCTCCAAAGCAGAAGCACTGGGCATTAGTCTCCTAGGACTCACTGTAGCAAAGACCACACCCTGGGTGGCCCAAAAGAACAGAAATTTATTCTCTCACAGTTCTGGAATCTCAATGTCTGAAACCTAGGGGTCCTCAGGGTTGGTTCCTTTTGAAGGCTCTGAGGGCCAAGCAGTTGCAAGTCTCTCTAAAGTAAGGTGGATATGGGGCTTCTTTGTGATCTTGGGGAAATCCCCTTAAGCTCTCTGAGCTTCAGATTCAAGAAAATGTAACAATGTCTCTCTCTCTTGGTATGGTTGTGATTGAGATATGGTTCAGAAGACATAGTACAAATGGTGGCCATTGGATTAAGCTCAAGGTCAATTCAGTTGCCTCATTTTTTTTTTTTGCTCTCAAATTTGTGTATTTTAGTGAGTATATTAGTATATAAAGTAAAAGACATAAACCATAGAAATTTAGTGACAGAGAATATGATTGTATTCAGAAAACTCAGGGCTGGCAGAATGGCTCAGGTGACAGAGTGCCTGCCTTGCAAGCTTGAGGCCCGGAGTTCAATCCCCAGTCCCATCAAAAAAAAAAAAAAAATCAGAAAATTATTAGTCCCAAATTGTACCTTGCTATGTGTTCTTTTTATTGTTTTCCCTGGAATCAAGAACAGTGACTTTCATTCTACATTAAATATTAAAATCTCATTTGTAATGCTATCAATAGTCAATAACATACTTTTTATGCGCATAAAAGTTACTAAGAATTACTTATTTTTTCAATTGGAAAGGATCTTGGAGGTGCACTCACTTATGATAAACATATTTCTTCAGGCTTTTTGAATGAATAATCTAACATGATAAAGAACCCAGGCTGGCTTTGGGGCATATGACCTGCACTTAGAAGGGCCCTGTGTGTGACATAATGCTCTGTGATCTCTGACTTAAAACTATTATTACTATTTGGTGGTACTGGGGTTTGAACTCAGGGCCTCACCCTTGGTAGGCAGGTGCTCTACCACTTGAGCCACTCTGCCAGCCCTTTTTTGTGTTGGGTAATTTCAAGATAAGGTCTCAGAACTATTTGCCTGGACTGGCTTTGAACTTTAATCCTCCTGCTCTCTGTCTCCAGAGTAGGTAGGATTATAGGCATGAGCCACCAGTGCCCAACTGACTTAAAGTTATTAATAATATTTGAACAAGGGATTCCACCCTTATTTACATTAATCCATGCAAATCATGTAGCCAATCCTATATCTAACAATGTTAAATATTAAACTCTCTGATGTCTTGAACTGCCACTGTTTTATTCTTTGTTGTTGCTTTGTCATGTTTTATTTTTTACCATATTCAAAGCCTGGATTACAGCCAGGTATGGTGGTATATGCCTATAACCAGCACTCAGGAGGCTGAGGCAGGAGGATTGTGAGTTTGAGGCCAGCCTGGGCTATATAGCAAGATCCTACTCAAAACAAAACAAAACAAAAAACCCTAAATTTATTTTAATTAAAACTTCTTTATTAAAAATATGTGAACGAAGTATGTCTGTTTGCAAGTATTATAGACAACATGTAAATATTCAGGTATAAGAAATGCTGCTAGGAGTGCTGGTGGCTTATACCCATAATCCTAGCTATATGTGAGGCTGAGATTGGGAGGATGGTGGCTTGAGGCCAGTCAGGACAAATAGTTTGCAAGATCCAATCTCCAAAATAACCAGAGCAAAATGGACTGGTGGTATGGGTCAAGTGGTAGAGCACCTGCTTTGTAAGCATGAAGCCCTGAGTTCAAACCCCAGTCCCACCAAAAAAAAAAATGCTACTAAGAATCTAGCAGTAAAGACAGAACTCATGAGGTTTCAGATGGAAATGAGGACCACTGGGAATTGGACATTTGTGTCACATTCTGGCAAAAAGCTTATCTACATTTTGTCCATGCCCTGAGACTTTGTAGGAGGGTGAATATATAGGTTTTGGACTCCTTTATGTGGTGGAGATTTCAAGGCAACACACCATTTCTGGCTGTGGAATGGGCATTCTGGCTGCTTTGAGCCAGACTTACAATGACAATCAAGAGTAAAAACGCAGAACAGAAGAATTTGAAAAACTCACAGCTTGGCCAGAAAAGAAACACATGTAAAGTTGGGGTCAAGGAAGGTGGAGTTGATGAAGAAGCCAAGTCCTTTGCACTAGGACAATAGGAAACATGCCTTGAGAGGTGACTGGACCATGAGGGCACGCATTTCCTCATGGGTTAACCCATTGATGAGTTCATAGCTGAATGGACAATTAGGAGGTGGGGCCTAGTTAGAGGAAGTAGGTCACGTAGGTCACCAGGTGCCTGTCTTTGAAGGGTGTACCTGCTTCCTGCCCCTCGTCATCTCGCTTTCAGCCTCTGGTCCACCATAAGTGACCATTTTGCACCATCATGCTGCCCACCATGCTGTTATGCTCACCATGCTGCTCCAAGAAGCAACCATGGACTGAAGTCATGAGGCACAAGTAAGTCCTTCCACACTTATTTACCCAGGAACATTGTCCAACACGGGTGTGACTCCTGAGGACTTCACTTTTGCACTTTAATTTCACTTCTGTACTTTATTTACCCCAAGAATGCAGCTTTAAAAAATTGAGGATGCAGTATTTTTTTATTTAGTTAATTTTTTGGTGGGACTGGGTTTCTTTTTGGTGGTACTGGGGCTTGAACTTAGGGCTTTGTGCTTGCAAGGCAGGAATGCTACCACTTGAGCCACCCTACCAGCCCTTTTTTGTGTTGGATATTTTCAAGTCATGAGCCTCCTGATTCTGCCTCCTGAGTAGCTGGGATTACAGGTGTGAGCCACTGCTGCTCAGCGGTAGTGGGGTTTGAACTCAAGGCCTCGCCCTTGCTAGGCAAAACCTCTACCACTTGAGCTGCCCCAAGGATGAAGTATTTTTTAAATCACCAAAAACTTCACATTTTTATTTTCACTTAGGATAAAAACCAAAACAAGTCTTTGGTTTATATCTTCCAGTTATTAATGCCATGAATGCTTATAAGTTGAATTAGCTTCTCTGAAATTTTGGTAGGCTTACATTTTAGTATATATTTCACAGTCTGTCTGCTTTGACTTAGTTGAAGTCACTCCCAGTTTACAGGTAAGAAACTGAGAGAGTTAAGGTACTTGACTCTGTTCTCATGAGAATGAGACTCAAACTTACACCCAATTCCAAGATGCATATTCTTTGTACTCTACACCACCATCTTGACAGAATACTCTACACAGCAGACAGGGGTCATCTACACCAAGGAAACAGTAAGTGATTGTATACTGTATATATTAAGTGATTGTAAACATTCAAAGTGGAAGTAAATGCTGCTTAACTTCATGCCCAGTTTACCAACAGCAGAAGGTGAAATGATTTTCTTGATCTTTTGACTCCTTGGGATGAAGAAATGTCAAAGACAAATTTGTTTCTACACTTGCATCTATTCCTTTTTTCCCTTAATCTGGGAGCAAACGGTTTTTAGTTTTATAAGTTTGGTTTTATTTTTAATAGAACTAGTGCAGTGTGATGTTTTGATACATTATATTGGGTAATGATCAAATCAGGAAACTTAGCATATCATCACCTCATTTATCATTTCGTTGTGACGAGAACATTCAAAATCCTGTCTTCTAGAATTTTCAAATATGCAATAAATTTCACTAACTGTGCTCAGCCTACTGTGTAACAGAACATCAGGACTTATTCTTCCCATCTAACTGCAATTTTGTACCCATTGATCAACCTCTCCCCTATCTGCTCCCCTCCCGTCAAACCTCACCAGTGTTTAATAACCACTATTTAACTGCTATTCTACTCTGCACTTCTGTGAGATTAACCCTTTTAGATTCCACATGAGTGAGGTCATGTAATAATTGTCTTTTTTGTGCCTGGTTTATTTTACTTAATGTCCTTCTTGTCCACTCATGTTGCCACGAACGGCGATATTTCATTCATTTTTTATGGCTGACTACTATTCAATTGTGTATATATACCACATTTTTCTTTATTCATTCATCTGTAGGTGGACACTTAGTTGATTCCATATCTTAGTTATATATCATCATTACTTAAAAGTTTGGAAGTTCAGTATTCTAACTGTAGCATGTTTCATACCCCTCTTGCAACTATCAGCAAATATTATCTGGTTTGCCTTCAACAATAGCCTGAATCTGAACTTATCGCTCCTCCTCCTCTCTCACCTTGGTAGAGACCAACTTTTTTTCTTATCTGGATTACTATGACAACTGGAAAGCTGCCTGACAGGGCTCTCATTCTCTTTCCTCCGTGCAGTCTAGTCTCCACACAGCTATTAGGTGAGGATTTTAAAGCGGAAGTCAGACCAAGGCATTCTTCTTCCCAAACCACTCAAGAAAATCCAGACTCCATACTTTGGCTTGGCAGTTGATCAGTGTGATGTTTGCTGGCAACTCCTCTCAACTCATCTCCCACAGCTCTGACTGACTCTGCTGGGTCCACACCAGCCTCCTTTGCGAGATTTGATCACACCAGGTCCCTCCCCTTCGGGGCTGGCCTCTGTGGTTCCTTCTCCCTCCAGCACTTCCCCAGATGCCTGCACTGAGGCTGTCTCCCCACCTTCAGATCTCTGGCCAGTTGCCCCATCCTCACTGAGGCCTTCCCTCATGCCACCGAGACAAAATAGCACACATTCACTCTTCATCCTCTTCCCTCTGCTTTTCCTTTACAGCACCCCTGGTCGATTCTAAATATGCATTTTTAGTATATGTACATATATTTACATCTTCCACCATCAAGATGGAAACTCCCCATGAAGAGGGACTTTGTTTTCACTGCTGGGTTAGCAAATGTGTGAATAAACCTATCTTCCAATTATGCCTTCAAGCACTTAGTTTTGTTTTTGACAGTATAGCATAATTCACAAAAACTGAGCTGCTGGAGACCTTGCCAACAGAAAGTGAAAATGGGCTTCTCTACTAATCCCCATGTTCTTTTGTATTTATTTACTGATTGACTGATTGACTGATTGACTGTATACCGAAGATCCAATCCAGGCCCTGGAGCCAAGCATTCTACCCTGAGATACATCCACAGCCCCAGTTTAAAAAAAAATGTTTAACAGCTGATTGTGCAGTATTAATATACTTCTTTATTGACATATTAAACACAAAAATTTCTAATGTAGCACAACTATGGGTGGGGCTGCTTGTGTTCTTCCTTTTCCGGCTTTCTAGGGAAGGGCTGTGAAGTGCATATATATTCTGAGGAGGTAAAACAAAAGGTTGAGGTGCCCTGGTGCCCTTTCTTTCCTGAAGCAAGGAGGCATCACGGACTTTGTGGAAGTTCCCTTCCTCCTTTTCCCCCAGGGCTTGAGTCAAAAGACTCAAGGGATTTGGGGGCTGGTGTTCCCTCATGCAGCAAGGCTTATCCTAATTTGAAGAACACTAGGCTTATTGGACAGAAAATAGGAGCTGCCTTTTCAGGTTCAGTGTAGACAGAAGCTAATGATGCAACTCTAGGTTCTCTGTGAACCCTGTGTGGACAGGACAAAGAATCAGAGTGGATTAGGATAATTGTACCAGAACTTTCATTACTTGTACTTTTGTGTAACTAATAGCAGTCCTATAAGCAGGTTTTGTCACCCTCATTCAACTTTTGGATGGGAAAACAAGGAATTTGGGAGCCAGAAGAAGTCAAACTGCTCCAAAGGTTTCACTGAATTACAAAAAGAAATGTCTACAGATTGGGGACAGGGGCAGGGGACTAACAAATCACCCAGGGAACAGTCAATGGCCTGAAGAGGTAGGGTCCAAAAGGAGTGTGGCAAGAAGGCAGGGAGGGGGATAATGAAAGACAGTGAGAGAGATAGTGAGAGATAATGAGTGCAACAGTGAAACAGAAACAAAGTAACAAAAACAAAACAAAAAACCAGATTTGAGGAATGTCAAGTAGCATCTGGGGCGAGACAAGAGAAGGGTCACCTTGCCCTAGAGGTTAAAGTAGCCAATGAAATAATATGTGACTATGTATGGGACAAGCTGTACCCCTCCCATTTCTGTAACCTGTTCTAAATTGTATATAAGGAAAGCTCTCTTTGTTCTCAGTTTCATCCTTTGGAGCCCGCTGAGTTGCTGCCAGCCTGCTTAATAAACTTGCTTCCCGAAAGCTTTGGTGCACTGTCTGTCTGTCTGAGCCATCCTACAACAGGAGGGCTGATGAACAGGAGCTATGTAGTAACCCAGAGTAGTGAAACAGGGAAGAGTAAAGTAATAAATTCCCAACCTTCCTGTCCTCTGATCTTGTTCTTTCATCTGCATACTTCTGACTGGAAACCTGAGGAGAGGGAAGATGCAGTCACAGTCCAGCAAGGCAGAGAAGGTGGCAGAGGGAAGGGAGGGGAGATCCAAACTGAGAAAAATCAGTGCAGAGGTTTGGCAAGTGTCCTGATACCAATTTAGTGATTTCTGATGAGCATTTAAAAAAACAATGATATGGAACAGAAAATATGAGTGCCCTGGGAGTTCGTCATACAGATCACAACAAATGTAGTTTTCACTTTGGATAGCAGCCCCATAAGATATGATACCCTATTACTGCCTGATATCATATTGCCTTCAGATGATTTCAGCCTCACAGGAAGAGCCCTGCCTAAATTCCAAAACACAGAAAGGGCCAAGTTCAGAGTTTGGATGCAGTTCAGAGTTGTTGGCCCTTGTTTTGCAAAAGCTGCTCACCAGGGAACAGGTTGGTCACCAGCAGGAGGGGCAGCTGCAGCATAAGGCCAGGCTGTGAAAGAAGCAGTGGCAGCCAGCTGAACATCCTTGTGGCCTCAGCAATTCCGGCACCTTAGTCCAAGACTTTACTTTACATGACTCTGGAAAAGAACTAGGGCTTTGTTACTGGGCAGACTTTTTTGTTATGAGCCACTCTAGCTTTCTTTATGACCTTGACATTTATTTACCCTCTTTGTTAATTAGAAACTCTTAGAAATGCAAAGCATGTATGTAAACTGCAATAATACATGTAAGTAACATGACCTGGCATATACGTTCAATAAATAATGGCGATTCCCCTTTGTACTGTTAAATCCCACACAGGCTTTTAAGAAAAAATGGCCTTTGTATGTGAGTATACATTCCTTACTGCAAATGCTGCTAAATATAACAAGGAATACTTTTATTAAATCAGGGTAAAGCTAACACTAATTGCATTCCCAAGTAAATCCCACCAGAGAAAGCTGCTATCAAGGCACAAGAGGGTCCAGGATCAGAGGAAAGAAATGGTGTGCAGTTTTGCGCAGGAGGCCAGAACTGGACCTGGTATCATTACTACAATTAAACATGCTCTGAAGTCTTCCTCACTCACTACCACCCTATCCTGCCCACCTCCCACCAACAAGCAGTAAAAGGATCTTTTCTAAATTAATTATTTTTTATTGTTGTGCTGTGTGTGGGCTACATTGCAGCATTTACAAAGGTTTTTACAATGTGTAAAATATATCATACTTGAATTCACCCCCTCCACTGCTCTAAAAGTATCTTTTATACTTGTGAGCATTAGAGTTACAATTTCAAACAAACACTTTTTGTATGGAAAATCAAACTTTATTATCCTCTCCAATTGTTATTATTAAATAAATGAATAAAGATTAAACTAAATTATACATTTTCCAGAAATAAGGCTGGCAGGTTTTTTTCTTTCCATAATTGTGACACTAGTATGCTTCAACCCAGGTAATCATTTTCAACTAACAGGGGTAAAAAACCCAAAACTTTTAAAAAAGAAACAGTCCCATGATGGAATGGTGTAATAGAAGAGCTTGATTTAGAGAATAAAGTATTTTTTCTTTTCACCTTACAGGCCAGTCACAACACACATCTGCAGTTCAGAGGATGCTAATATAAGCCTTGCCCACCTCTCTCAGCCCGTCTTTCTTACTCAGATAGTTTCCGAGCAGCTCTTTGATGGACACACAATCTTCTGTCTCCAGGACAAACTGTTCCACAGCCTGGTGTCCTGGCAGAGGGCTGCTCACCATCCCACTTCTGACACTATCCAGGACAACTCCCCGAACATCTCCAGGCTTTCCTGGCACACCGAGGATGATAAACAGGCCTAGACAGTCCTCTCCTATCAGGTTACAGAATTCTTCCAGTTTATCAAATCTACTTTTCTTCCAGGAAGATTCCTCTACCCTTGACTCTGGATTGGAGAAGTCCGCAGATTGAAGAGAAGCCATTCGCAGAGTCTGAACTGCTAGCTGAAGCCTTATTTGCTTATTGGATCCCCAAAAGGTCCAAATCCAATCTGTCCCGAACAGGAAGGCTTGGTGCTTGGTCATCTTGGTGGTGGTGAGCCACTCACCAATTCCCTTTTCTTGGCAGAAAGTGATGAAGTGGATTAAGAAGATCTCATTCAGAGTACTGGCAGCAGGACAGAGTTTAGTCAGCGGATACTCAAATCCAAGATACTCCTTCAGTCTCTGAGCTGCGTAGACTATAGCCTCACTGACCACCTCACAGATGCCAAGAACTTCTTTGTTGTCCTTCAGAGCCAACTGTTGTGATGCTTTTTGTCCCATTTTTTCACACCCAGTCAATACTGCCCTCAAATATCAAGCATGTGAGCGTTGTTCAGAATCTCTTCTTTTTGAGAGGAAAAGTTCTGCAACAAAAGCACCTCAGTTAATGTGGTCACAGTGTCCCAACTCTAGAGGTGCCTTTGTGTAGCTAAGCATATAGACATACAGCTAAACAAACATGTGAAGGTTCCCTGTTTATCAACTGGGTGTGTTGTATTCATACAGATTCCTGCTGGTTTATTAAGTTACAGATACTAAATTTCACATAAAACATGTTTTTCTCTAGGTTATATTCACTCTACTTTTAATCTTTGGTAATCTCTTCCTAGATATGTGTCTTCTTTCCAAAATTCAGTTAAGTTAAAAAACAATAAGTTAGTTTTTTAAAAGGTTAGGTCCATACACCTTTTCTACAACTAATTTCTTCAAATTTGTGTGTCATTTCTGTTTGCTTTTCCTACATCCCTCTGACATGATTCCTCACTCTCCAGCTCAGTTGTTTATGCCCCCTTTCATATCAAGGCTTCTTGAACAATGACCTCAACTTTCTCTCTGCTAATACATGTCCAAACAAACTTACAAACGTTTGCAAACTAGAAAGAGTTTGTGTTATTTTCAAAATCAGAAACCAAGCCCATCTGTTACTTTGAATAAAGGAAAATTAAATAATAACAATGCAAACATGAGGCAATTATCAATTGACTTTATTTTCTTTCATAAGGTAATACCAGCAGTGTATAATATTTTGCAAATAAAATATATCAAAATTTTTTAACCTTATCATGTATCATCAGCTATGTTATAGTGTCCTGAATAAACAATGTTGGCATTTGTACCAATTTCCTGGTATTTTCAACCAGGTTCTAATAAGAAATTGAGTTTTTCAAATGCTGATGTATATTCACATTAAAATAAAACCCCAATACCAGAAGAATCCAATACAGTTACCAAATAATGAATGACAGAGTTCAAAGTAAAGCATTGTTAGCATCAAATGATTTCAGTTATGAATAACTGGTATTATACATTCCTTGATGAATAGTTTGGTAACTTGCTGACAGTGTAAAAGAAAATACCATCAGTATTCAAAAATAGTTTGTAACCAAATCCACCGGCATAAACTGAACTGCCCACCTCCACCCCAATTTGTGAACACCTGTCTTTTCTGCAGTTAGCTAGTATGAGTGATAATGTAGTCCTGAATGAAAAGTAGATTTTTCCAATATCACTTAAAGAAAACCCACAGTAACAGTTTTGCTTCAGTTTTCTATTTTCTTTATAAAGAATATTTGGGTCCAGAGTTACAGAAGCCATGAGTTATACTTTACTTAATAAAATAACCATTAGAAAACTAATTTTGCAGCCTCAGACTGTTTGAATTCTTATTGAAATAAAATAAAACTCCATTTATTGACAGCTGAGGAATATACAATTAATATGTTTAGGCAGCCGGTTACTATGTGAATGTAATGATGTATTTAGCAAAGAGGAAAACAAGAACCTCAATACTGTAAAAGTGTTTTGTTTCTGATTATTTCTACAACTGTTTTTTTGAGGGAGATGTGAATGCTTCCAAATCACTCAAGTTAACTGTATATTAATGTTGCTCAAGTTCTTCCTTATAAAGTAAATAGATCGAAGGTTAATGGTGAAGTTTTTTCTTTTGGTGATACTGGGATCTGAACTCAGGGCCTCATGCTTGCTAGGCAGGCGCTCTACCCCTTGAGCCACTCCACCACCCCTTTTTTCTGTACTGGGTATTTTTGAGATAGGGTCTTGTAAACTATTTGCCCAGGCTGGCCTCCTACTGCGATCCTCCTGATCACTGCCTCTGGAGTAGCTAGGCTACTGCATGAGCCACTGGTGCCTCATCAGTGAGAAGATCAAGGGAGAAGTTCTCAAACTTCACCAATTCTATGCTGTCATCAAAGACACATATTTCATGTATATTAGTTTAGTCTGAAGGATGAACATTGTGAAAATTCAGCTGTGGAAAAAGAAAGACTATTCTGATCTCTTCAGGAATCAACTGCTATGTGAAAATTTAGATCACTGTTCTTTTGCTTTTGTTTTTAATATGATCTTTTCATTGTCTTCCTTATGGCACAAAATAAAAGTTCTATTTTAATGTATGGTATATATACATATACTTAGAAAATATATAAAAACAAAAAGTAAGAGGCAAGCAGAGGTGTAGTTGGCATTTAGCAGGCACAATGAATGCTTCTGGAAACTCCACATGATGAATTACTTTGAGAGCACAGATGTCCTGCTTATATGACTGCAGTAACACAATGATGTGACAAAGTCATTCACATACTGGTTACTGCTCCCCAAGCCCTCCACACTGGGGATGTGAATGAAACACTATGGTAAAACACTCATCTTAAATGCAGCTTTAAATATAATACCTCACAGATTTTTACACTAAATAGAGTAAAGCAATTATACTCTCATTCACCAGTGTCTCATTTTTTGTGGCAACTTCAGAACAGGCATGATTCCCCTGCCTTCCATTTCCACTTCTGAATGAGAAGTTTGAACAATAAACAATATACAATTTGTTGCTTGTTATACCCACTATTTGAAAACTAAGGTAGGTTCCTAGTGCTCATCCAGGTGCTGTGGTCAAACATTTGATTCTTCATCTGTAATGCTGGCACTGGGGGAGCAGGCAGCAAAATCTTTAAATATGTCATCTTCCTTTAATATGTGCAGGAAGACAAGCAGATAAGGAGTCACATGTTGTGAGTCCAGAGCTTGGACCCACACATTCACCAATGTACATGCAGTGCTTTGGGGTTACTTTTAGAGTAACATTTTTAATTAACTTACTGTAAGGTTGTTGATGCCTTCAGAGAATGCACCTATCTGTCTTACTGTCCCTTCTGAATCTTCCATCTGCAAAGAACAAACCACAGCATGCCATACCCATTTTCATGATTTCAAGGAAAGTACAGCAAAATGAGCAAAAGTCTAAGCAGAAACAATGCAGTGATGCTGGATGGGGTGGGAGCAACAGAACACTTTTGTGCTTTGGTTTTCAAATGTGGATAATAATTCTAAGTTTTCAGATTACCACAAACATTGTTATATGTTAAGTGCTTAGGATAGGACCTGGAGTAGCGTAAGCAGTCTGTAAGTGTTCACTGTTATTTTATTATCCTTATTTTTAGGCATTTGAAGAGAACATCCATGATTAGTGGATATTGCGTATAAAGGCCCCCCATAGTGGCTGAAGGCATTTAAAAGAGGTTTATGGTGTTGCATTTACCTGCTCTAAAAGGTTCAAATCATCTTCATTGTACAGGCCCATGTCCAAACTAGGTTTAAATCCCTTTTTAGAGGTACTTCCTGATGCCTGTCCCAATTCCATTGGACAAACATATTCTTCTCCATCTTCCTGTTTCTTCTTTCTCAGATTGCCAAAATTGCTAAAGGTAAGTTTCTTTGGCTCAGAATATTAATGTTATTCTTCTTATTCACACCAACTAACTGGATAGTTAATGTGCAAGCAAAACACGTTTAGATGACATAAGACTTTCAGGGCTGAATCCAAGTGTCCATGTTTTTTCATCTCAGATCAGCAAAAGAAAATGGTCTTTACTGTATTTTCTTTTTGGGTAAAACTATGATTATGTCATTTGCTTCTCTGCTTCCACAACAGGACTGGTGATTGGTAAATGAATTCCCCAGTCTTTTGGAGACAAAACTTCCAGTGATACTTAGAAGAGAAACTCCATCTTAGTCACCATCCAGTCCCTGTGACTATCAGGCTAATGACTGACTTTAAACAGAACACACTGTTCCACAGGTTTCAAATCTGGCACAACTTTTAAAGGAGAAAGGGACTCAAAGGCAGATAGAATGGGTAAAAAACAAACAAAAAGAACTTGCCACATATTTCTGGAGGAACCCCTAAGTGCTACCTTCACATTAAGGAGGCTAAGACAACATATTCAGAAGAGTTAATGTAGGAATGATTTAAAAGAAGAAAAAAGTAATCTCAATTTGGTATAATCCATGATTTCTAATAATTAGGAAACACCCCTTTCTGTTACCTTGAATCATTTCTTTTTTTCTTTCCTTCACTTTGGCAGTGGCTGTTAAAAGTACATAGTCTGGTAACTCCACGGCATCTCGCTTCTGGTGCTGAGCCTCCACACCAACCAGAAGGTTGAAATGAGTGGCCAAATGTCTTTGCAGCAAGATCTTATTAGGTGGGATGTTCAATAACTGAGCCATTGTTTTTACATTGTTTCTCACAGGTTCTAAAACCTATAAGAAAAATTAAGATTGTTAAAAGGTACCATAGGTCATACGTTTGCATTGTGCTTTACAGTTTGTGCAGTGCTTTCATTTGGGTTATTTATCTCCATGACTCTCTCGACAGCCCAGGGTATGAACTTCCATCTCTAGTTCACATTTCTTTTCTTTATTTTGCCTGAGTTAGCAAGTGGTGAAGCTGGTGCTGTAATCCACGCTTCAGGTTTTACAATGGCAGCACTTACACCAACCCCTTATGCAACATAGATGAGTAGAAATACAATCTGTATCTTTGTAGGGGTTTTAAACCACAATTATATGAGAGACAGCAGCTGGATGTTATTTAATGTGAAAGAGAAATGGGCTTAAATCTAATCTAGAGTTTTACAGTTTAAATAAAAATACTCTAAAGTAAAACTCACTAGAAATAGTGCAGGAGGCTTGGGAAACATGACTTTAGGATTATGACAAGCAAACAAACGTATCCTCCTTAGGGATCCTCATCCTGTATCCTACACATTAAACTAAAGGAAATAAAACGAGAAGTCAATTTTCAATTCAATCAGCTTTACCATGAGACCACAAAGGACACCACTGCCTCTGATATTAGGGATGTTTTCTGCCAAGTCCACAGAGCACAGCCACTCCATCACTTGATGATTGGTCCACTGCTCAACCTCGGATGGCGTGATGTTATTCTGCAGGAACAAACTCCATGAGCTTCAGTTGACGAG